AGCTTGAGAACCCTGGGAAGCCTTGCTCAGGAAAAACAAAGAGAGCAGACGGTCAGTAGTGCTCCCTTCCCTTTCCCCAGGGCCCAGCCAGAGACAGCACCTCCCCTCCTGAGGCTCTGCAAGATTCACATCCACACAGAGACGCACACTCTGATTTACTCTCGCTGCAGGCTCTTGGAAGTCGGCTTTTGCCACCCCGGCCCCAGGTTTTGTTTGATGCCAGCTCTACTGTACCTTGGTGCCCTCAGGGGCCTGGGGGCCTGAGGGCCTGAGGGAAGGAGGCTCAGAGTTGTGAGATATATATGAACCAGAGATTGTGAATTCAAGGGGCCCATGGGGAGGGTTTGGGGCTCCAGGGCTGGGACAGACACAGCTTGGGGCTCTTCATGCCTCCCCTTCCACCAGGCCAGTACAGAGGCCGGAATTCTGTGTAGAGCTTCTGACCACCATGCCTCCCCCCACCCCATGCTCCAGGGTGCTGAGCTCCTCATGGGATATGGCAAGAGAATGAAGAAATGCCCCAGCTCATCAAGCCTCATCCACATTGTCCTGGCCACCAGTTGGGTATGCTGGGCGCATACAGGCTCCTGCATTCCCTAAAACACTGTTCTCACCTCGGTCTCCTTTGGGACCTGGGGGACCTGGAATGGATAGTCCTGCAGAATAGAGCAAGGAAGAGGCAATGCTGAACTTACCAAGTGCTTCCTCACCAAGGGCCTCAATTCCCCTGTGCCCCACAATTCCCCACCTTCCAAAGATCCCTGTGATGCTCACCTGGTGGCCCAGGTGGTCCAGGTGGGCCTGGGGGACCTCGTAAATCAAGACCTTCTGTAGAGAGAAGAAAACAGAAATTAGCAAAAGCTGACCTGGGGCTGCTTTCCGCCAGCTTCTCCCCTCACCAGGATCATCAATGTCAGGCACCCTGGGCTACACTCAGACCCACACGTCAGACCCCCTCTACTGGGCTGCCCTCGCTCAGAGGCAGGGCAGGGCTGCAGTCAAACTCCCTGGTAGCTAATATGGGTGTATTGAGTGATGGTAAGGACATGGCTTCAGTGCAGAGAGCCTGAGTTCAAGTCCCTGCTCCATCACTTCTAGCTGGTGACTTTGGGCAAGTTCTCAACCTTTCCCAGCAACAGCTTCCTCCTCTGTAAACCAGAGGCACATGACCTATGTCGCGGGGCCCTGTGAAGGCTCAGTGAGATGCCAAGGCACAAGTCTGGCACACGTGACTGCAGGATGTCTGTTCAGCTGTCCAGCTACTCAGGTGCTGAGGTGGAGGCCCAGCAGCAGCTCCGCCTGGGCTCTTTAAAGGACTTTGGGAACAGGGGGGGTCTACGCTCTCAGGTCAGGCCTAAGGCTGAGAACCCACAGACCCTTGTCATTGCTCCCAGTGCATGGGGGATGCAGTGCTCCTGCCAGCAACACTCGGAGGCCCTGCGTGACACTGGGCCTCCTGGAGTCTGAGAACCTCTTTGGCAGCTGCCCCATCCCCAGTGAATCACCCCATGGCTGACAAAGCCCTTGCTGTTCCTTACCTGCTCGCATTGCGTCCCAGAGGAACTGGTCATCCTCGCCCACATCTGGGGCTCCGGATGACCCATTGGCGCAGCTGCCACAGCCCCAGTGTCCTGACTCTCTCCCACTCCCACCCCCACATCACCTGCCCTGGAGAACACGGGGGCACTCACGGGCAGAGAGGACTTCGGAGATGGAACTGCTGCTGCTAATGAATGATTCGCCAGCAAGTCCTTGCTCCCCTCTCGGGCCTGCGGGGAGACACAGTTAGGGTGCACGCCGCTGGCAGAAATTCCTCTGCAGGTGGCTACAGTGGCCCAGGTGCCCGGGGCAGGGCAGCCAGAGAGTTGACTGCAAACTTGTCTGTCAGCCGAGAAACACCCCAGGAGGAAGTGGATCGGCTTTCCCTAAGACTGACTGTGTTTTGGTATTTGGATAAGTCTTTGGACAGTGGCATGGTTATCAGGGTCTGGTCATACAGGCTTAAGGCCTGTGAAAATAGCTGAGCTTGACCCTGCCCAGGTGCTTACAGAGCTTCAATCCCCAATCCAGTGGACCCCTGCCTTCTCAGAGACATGGAGGGGGTTAGAGGAGGTGTCTCCCCTTGCAACTGAGGCTTCACAAGACCCTTGGTGAAGAATCATGTTACCTCCTCATCTCCCTTCCCCAAATACATGTCTCTCGCTTCATGTACAGACTGGGGCCCAAGTTCGGCCTGGGAAGGAAGCCCTCCTGACTGAGGCCACAGTCATGTGTTCTTTCAGGCATGACATACCTTGCTGTCCTGGGAGACCAGCTGGGCCAGCAGGGCCTGGAAATGGGTTGGGGAAGAAAAGGTTTTGTCACATCTCTAGGGTCACCGTTTTAGAAAGAGCTGAAGAAAAGGCTGGTCCTGGGTACATGTGTAGCTTCCTCACAGGGCATAGAACAGTAGCCCAAAGAGGCCAGCTTCCTTATTTGAGAGCAGTCCTGGGGTCCATCTGGGTAAGAATTTCTCTGCCAGGCACTGGGCCCCAGGGATGGGCAGGACTTCCCTCTCAGATACTGTCCTTCAACGATGAGGGACTTCTAAATGCCCCCAGTGTCCCCTCTCTCACTTGAGCTTATCAGGAGGGAAGGCTGGTCCATACTTGCATTGGTCATATTAAATCATATATTTCATTTACATGTGAACATTTTTAAATCTTAAAAAATAGATACAGCTGACCCATGAACAACATGGGGGTTAGGGGCACTGACCCTCTGCACAGTTGAAAATTCACATATAACTTTTGACTCTCCAAAAACTCTTACTAATAGCATACTGTTGACTGGAAGCCTTACCAATAACAGTCAATTAACATATATTTTATAGTTATATGTATTATATACTATATTCTTATAATAAAGTAAGCCAGAGAAAAGAAAATGTTATTAAGAAAATCATAAGATTTGTTTGTGAGTTTTTTCAAGTCACAAATCTCCAAAAAATTTCTAAGATATGTATTGAACACTGTTTGTGGATAACCCATGTATATAGCAAAATAACAGGCTTGTGGGAAAAATAGAAAATATCACCTATAATTCTTTAACTTGTAACATTTTATTTCTTTCCAGCATTTTTTTGCATCTTGTAAAAATATTGTTGCAACCACAGAGCACACTTTATCGAACATTCTGCTCCTTTCAGTAATACTATTATCTCCTAACAACTTTCTTTTAAGTCTTCATATTTTTGTACTGATTTCATTATTGTTGAACAATTTGGGGATATTTTCTCCAAATAGATTCCTAGCAGTTTTGTTGCCCTTGTTGCATATTATCAAATTGTTTTCTAAGAGGAAGCAATTTGAGGACCGAGTGTTCTAACTGGCCAAACAGTGGCTCTGGAGGCAGAAGCACCTGGGCCAAATCCCAACCCTGCTACTTCTTAGCTGAGCGACCTTGGGCAAGTCATTTACAGGCTGGAGCCTCCAGCAGTGCTGTGGCGTCTGGTGAAGTAAAGCCTGTGCAGCTCTTGGGATACTTGCTGGTGTGTGATGAGGGCTTGCTAGGCTGGCTATCTGGGAGGGGGCTTTCTCGGCTCCTCCTCACTCTCCTCCCTTGGTTCCTGTCCTGGGTTTCAGGATTTGAGTAAAAGCTGGTACAGTCAAATGCCACCTAGGCCTGACGCTGATTTGGGAGCAAAGCAAGAAAACGGACTGACCTGGGACACCTGGAGGTCCCGGGGGTCCCATGGCTCCAGGAGGTCCTGGTGGACCTGGGACAGTGAGAGTCGATGTCCCGCCTGAAAACAGAACACACATGGAACACTGAGCCCCACTCTCCTGGCTCAGAAGTGCTGGGACCCAGACCAGGCTGTGGGTCAGGCCAAGCCAGCATCTCTTGCTCTCATTACTTCTAAACTCCGCCCACCACCTCGCTGCTGACCCAAGGAGCCCAGCACTGCATCCTGCCCAAAGCACTGTGTCCACTGACGGGCGCTTCTTGGAGGGCGTTAAGGCAGAGCCAGGGCAGATGCCCGGAACATGAGAATACGCAGTGCAGGGCTTGCCTACCTGCAGTCACGATCTTGCCTGGAGCTCCTGGTTCACCTGGGAGGGGAGGAAAAGGAGAGTGGTTGTTCCCTAGATCAATTAGTGTCCCAATAAATCACTTCCAAGGCTTCTGATTGCATTTGAGACCCACTCCTGGGCCTCTAACCTGCAGGGTAACGACATTTTAATGAACTGAGGCGCGTGCAGGATGCATTAAGCACCAGTCTCTGCACCAGACACCCTGGAGACTGGAGCATCAATCTTGGCCCCCATTAGCTTTTGGAAGAAGCTGGGACTCCCCGAAGGGGTTTCATTGGTGAATGTTGAAGAGATTGCCTTTCAGTGAGGCCGGAATGTGGCTGACTTGAGAGTGACTCCCAGACTCTTCTCCTACCGTGGGCATCTCAGGATTTTACTGGGAATGGGCTTGGGTAGGAAAAGTACTGAGAGGTCCAAGGTCAGGGGCATAAGCCTTCCAGGTAGAGCCTAGTTCCAGGGTGCCCCTCAGGATGCTGGTTTCCTGGGATAGTAGTTGGGGTTGTGCAGAGTCAGAAGGGGTTCTGTGGCTGGTATGTTGGGAAAGTTACATCAAGGTTAACAGATCTCTTTCCTGACTGTGTCTTGGAAGGTTGAAAATGCACACGTGCATGGGAGACTTCCAAGAAGGGGATGTCAGATTCACACTTTCCCAAATGTATCTACCACCAGATGCCATGTCAATAAAACATCTCTTGGGATTGGAAATTCACACAGACTCTGGGGAACTGAGTGAGTGAAGCAGAGGACAGAAAAACCCTCCACTGGGGACTTTCAGGGGCCTCTTTTGTCATTTTTTCCATGGTCTGTAAGCAATTCAATCCCCCGCCTGTGAAGTTGCTACTCATGTCCCTCTTGGGGAAGTGGGGGGTGGGGGTGGGTTGGTCTCTGCTTGCCTCCCACCAGCCCCTGCAGGTCAAGGCCAAGAGAGGGGAAAGTATTTGAGTTGGTTTCATTGGAGCCCAGTCCAATATTAGGTAAAATGTCCACCTTTTGTGCACATTGTCCGGGGAGGGTCTGAAGTCCCCTGTGGACAGGAATTCACGGGCCTGGAAGGGCAGGGTGCCTGGTATCCTTGGGAATCCCCAACCTATGTGTCGTACTAAAGGTTCCATCAATTCATGAACATATCTGTGGACTCAGAGATCTCTCTGGGATGTGTGAACTCAGTTATTATTTTGAATAATATCTATTTGTCCTAAAAGAACTCCTTGGCCTAACCAGTCATTGGAAATAGTTTCTGGAAAGTAGTTATTTTATTCCTCAGGTGCCCACAGGTGACAGTGACTGTTGATGACAGAGCACAGCTGCACAGAATGTCAGGGCTCAGGGGTGTGCCGTCACAGGGACAGGAGGAGGAAGACAGGCCCTGAGCACCATTGGTCCTTGGATTGGCTCAGGGTTAGGTCTAATGGTGCAGAAATGGACAATGGCGGAGGAACAGAGCGGGACAAGAATTCCACCCTGTGCACAGGGTCACTACGCTGGTCCTGGTCAATCTCTAAGGATGACTTCCCCTCCTGGCAGCATCTTAGATGCCTCTCCCTGCCTGCATGAAAGCCTGTGTGACTGATAAAACCAAGGTGGTTGCTGGCCTGGGAGTCTGGGTACAGGGACCAAGCCCAAGCGAGGGAGATTGAGCACTAATGGGGGCATGTTAGAGGCAAGTCAGGGGGTGGACTAGCTTTGGGGTAGGAGCAACAACCTCCAGATCCTCCTCCTCCAACAGTGGCCTGGAGACACCCAGGGACCATAGAGAGGCTTTGCTTGTTGGGCAGGGAGGTATGTGGGGCCAGCTGGGGCTTCAGGATTCAGGGCTGAGTTGATCAGAACAGATCCCTGGCTCCCCAGCCTCCACTGAAGCCACTAGATGCCACTGTTGATCCAGGCTCTGCCCAGACAGGGGCTTCCTTCCTGCCAATCCCTTCCCTCCCACAAAAATGACTAGTGGAAAGAAAGAAAATCTAGTTTGGAAAAATCACTTACCTCTAGCGCCTGGTTGGCCAGGGCTTCCAGGAAATCCTGATGTGATTGAAAACAAGTCAGTCAAAATATTTAAGGCCCAGCAACTCTGACACCCTCTGGTAGTGCCTAGCACTCTGTCACTCAGCGTAGCTGCAATCGCAGATGGAAACCTGGAGACCTATCTGGCTTTGCCTTCTGCTCGGCCTAGGTGGCCACTCAGGCAGGCCTCTTGCTCTGAGCCCTGTTCCTTCCCTGGGAAATGGGGCAACAGCTAGGCTTCAGGGAGGCGGAGGCCCATGGACTCAGCTTTGGGGATCCCAGTTCCCCTGTAGCTTGCAAAGCAGCTGCTGTCCCCACCTGTCTCCACAGTCGGGAAGCAGGGGCCAGGCTTCCTACAGCTGATGCCATATCTCCTCCTTGCTGTCTCCTGAACTCCATCAGGGAGTGTCCGGAGGATGTCCCTATGCACTTAATTTTTGGGGGAACTGTTGCTTGACTTACTTTTACATCTTTGCTTAATTTCCTTTAGGAGTTGGAGCTGGGCATGGCGACAGTGCACATGGGCCCAACTATAGGACAGACTTTGATGCCTAGGCTGTCCCAGAGAAGCTGGGCCCCTCTGCACGAGGTGAGCTCCCACTCCTCCACGCCAATGGGATATGGGCTGCTGCGGGGCCGGTGCCACTCCTGGGCCCTGAGCCGAAGGGGAACAGGACACAGGCAGGCAGAACTGGCACATGAGCTAACTTTATTTCTACCAGAATGGCTTTCTAGATTGTGTTGTGCATATTTTTCCTTCCTAAGGTGCTTCTCAAGATGCACAATAAAAGGACCTGAACTCATCTTCTCTGAGAGAGTGAGGGGAGGGGAGGAAACTTGAGGTGATTGGAGAAGAGGCATTTGCTGAATGCCAGAAAGCTGGAATAGGAGGCTTCTATGGAGGTGGGAATGACTCAGTGACTCACCCGGAGGTCCTTGGAGTCCTGTGAGACCTACAGAAAATAAAACACATAAGGGGAGAGATGAAAGGTTGAGGAGTCACACCCTCGAATGCAGGAGCAAGTGGGATTGGTGGGGCAAGAGGACAAACCCCAAGTCTGGGGCAGCCAGATGGCTTCTCTCATCAGACTGGTGGGAATTAGTGAGGGCCCAGGTATGGCCCAAGGGAAGGTGGACTGGAGGGAAGGCTCAGAGGAGCTAGATGCTGAGGTGGTGGTAAACTCAGCAATTTTAAAGAAGATTCCTTGCCCCTTTCTAGAGCCCCTTGCTTTCACCCATTAATCTCCCTCTTCCCAGTTGCCAGACTTGGTGACTCAAGGTGTGAGGACACACAGCCACTACACACAGGCAAGCTAGCAGTTGTGCGAGTTATCTGTTGGGATGCTGGAGGAAAATGGGATAAGACAGGCACACACATGCACACACACATCCACACACACAGCAGGGCCATGACTCCCTCTTCCCATTCTGTTACCTGGCTTTCCTGGTTCTCCAGCAGGTCCTGGTGGGCCTCGGACTCCAGGCATCCCTGTGAGACCTTGTTCACCTGGAAAGAGTATGGCCAACATGCAAATGTTTTCCTTCTGGGAAAGCTGAGCCAGCCAGCATATCTGAGCTGATGCTTTCTTGGTGTTTTACTGAGTAACTTTGAGGCAGGTGGGGAGGAGAAGGGTAATAAGACCTGGCTTTGCATGTTTCTACATGACACAAGCCCCTCTGGGGATGTGGGCAGGGTAGGGAGTGGTAGGCAGGGGAGGCAGTGAAAGTGAGGAAAGCAGATCAGTGACCAACCTCTTAGGCCTTGTTGTCCATCGGGGCCAGCAGGTCCTAGGAAAGCAGAACCACAGCTCGTCAGTGACTCTAGAAGCTACTTCTGGGCCTCCCTCCCTCTATTGCCCATCAGGCTCACATCAAGTTGTCTCCCAGGTGGGGAGCCCTTGGGACCTTCTTGTAGACACCAAATGTAGAAAAAGACTAGTCTCTGGTATATCCTTTAGATGCAGCTTTTCCCCCACCCTCTTCTCCTAAACCAGTAACTGCCTATCTTCCTGCTAAAACTGTTCAGGGAGTCCCCATTGTGTCTCCGGTGCCCTTGGGAGGACTTGGCACACACCAGATGCTCAATAAATGCCGGGCTCATTTACTCAAGGTCCTGGAAGGCAAGGTCCTCCAAGTTCTTGTCCCCTCTGCTCCAATGATGCCAACCTCTCTGAGGTCCTTCTGGGACCATGTCCTGCTTTTCCCCACCTCTGCCTTTCCTTACTTATGCTGTTGTTTCTACATGGAATTTTCCAAATTGATCATAATAAAAATCTTCCTTACTTTTTAGGACAATCTGAAATGCAGCCTCCTCCACCTTTCTGGGTGGAAGCAATCTGTCTACAGTGTCCTCCTCGCACTCTGTACCTCTCACGGCACTTGTCACCTCATACAAGCTTTGTCTCCCCTTGAGGGAGGTGAAGCAACTTACTGGCTCAGCAAGATGTCCTGCATAGAGTCAGCACTTCTTAACAACTTGTTAAATGAATGAGAAAGTGAATAAATCACATCCTCCATTGGTGGAGCTTAATCCCTTCTGGGACTTGGTGCTAAACACCTGGCTCTCTGAGGGTCCTTGGCCAGCTCCATGTCCTGGCCGACAGGTCCCTTGGTAAAGGTCAGCAAAAGGTTGAACCCTGGATTTGTCTGTGACACCAGCCCTGAGATGTCAGGGCGATGTCTGGAATACAGTGGGTTCCAGAGAACCCCAACATTGCCTGTCCTCCCAAGGGCCCTGAGTGGCTTGGGGGCAGGAACTAGATTGGAGGCCATGCCTTGCTGAGTTCCCCCCTGCCCCCCAGCAGTGAGAAACCCACAGAGATGGCTGCTGCACATCTCAGAAGGGATGTGCAGGCCCAGAAACGGCCTATAAATAAGGCCTCTATCAGGAGGTGGGCAGGCCAGAGAATAGGAGAGGTGGCTCTAGAAGGATCTCAACTTCAGAGCCATGGTGACGAGTGGAATGGGTCAGACCTGCTGCATTAGCTCCTCTGGGACACTCACCCACTGCTCCTTTAGCTCCAGGTTCACCCGTAACACCAGGCAGACCTCTCAAGCCTGGCTCACCTGCAAAGGAAATGGGCTAGCTGGTTGGAGGCTTTCAAGCTTTGCATCCTTGTTAGTGGTAGAATGCT